CACGGGTGCTCATGTAGCACTCCACACTTCTTGATCGTAGCCTCCTCACAGCCCATATGATTATGCGTTGAATAAAATGCATTTCTGTTCAAGTTCTTGTAAGCCTGGGCCAGTGTCCAGGGATCTGTGAAGTCAAGCCTAAGCTCTCCAAACTGTAAGTAGTACTTTGGTTCTTACAAGAAAAATACATGAGATAAGAGTTGTTCTATGTTGCTCCAACAAGTGAGTGGCAACACTTCGAGCTTAAAGTTTATAAATATATCTGCATGGATTTGATCCTTGCTTGATCTTATCTTCTAATTCATCTTTTTCAATAAGAACTGTAGACCACTCTCACTGGTGCCAGAAAACCTGTGAGTTTCTGTTTTGCACTCAGGCTATTTGATTCTTTTTCTCTCTTCGATAATCCTGCACCTTACCGAAGCCTGGGAAAAAATGCTAGTAAGCAGTATTTCATAGGCGCGTGGCTGACTCTTTCCACCACGATCCTAGCTCACCATAGATTTGGTATAATCACCCTCAGTCTATCTATCAGTGTCTAAGTCTACTGTAATTTGATTCTAAGGAATGAAATTGAGAAGGCCTTGAACAACACAAAGGAGCTGTTAGGATCAGTGGCCCCCAGACAACCTCATTAGCCTGGTGGCCTCACCAGCAACTTGGCTATGGAAAGGCTCCCAACACTCACAAAGGCTCTGGAGGGCAGAGCCCAGAGTTTGCAGGAGACTTGTCAGACGAATGCTGTGTCACTCTCCAAGGATGGAGAGTGGGAGAGAGACTGTGTAAGGGAGGGAAAACTCTTCCTCCACTTTCTTATGGTCTTTCTCTGGGCCTAAGAATTATAGGAGAAAAACATACACATTTTACTAAATAATTTTTACATGCACACGAGAGCCTGCACAAAAAAGTGAAGTCTCTGAGAACAACACTTACACACCAGGCTGGACAAACATGAACACTTGGCAAGACAAAGGGGCTGGGGCTGGGGCGGTTAGTAGAAAAGTGACTAGGAAGATGAGGGTTAGTTTAATAAGTGTTTTTTGTTTGTTTGTTTGTTTTTTGGTTCAGATTTCTCTGAGTCTCAACTTCCTGTTTCTGGTGATAAGAATGTTTCTTCCTCCTGGTGTAGAAACATACTTTTCACATGGGAATTTTATCTCCTGCTTTTAGAAAGGAAAATAAGGGCCAGAATGCCCTCCCCCGTTTTTGCATCTGTTTTTTTCAAGTGCCTTTAATTCAAAGTAATCAATACGTCAGAAGCATATGTATTTGGGGGTGGCATCCTCTGACCTCCTCCAATGCAAAACATTTGCCTCTCATTTCAAGCACAAATATCCTAAGCATAACTCAGTGAGCAGTCCCCAGCGGCCGGTTCTGACCCAGTTGTAAGTAAAGGGAGGGAGGTCATGGGGGCAGTGCTCTTCCGTTTATAAAGATCCATTTATCCAGCACCTGTTGATTTTGACAGATGGTGCAGACCCCACAGTGTAAGGTGCGTGCCTACGGGGTTCTACCACCATCACTGCTCTGTCTGCAGCACCTCGACAGGTACTGGGCATGTGGTGTGGTGGACGCTCCAAATAAATAATCTTGTAATGAATGGAGAGACATAGAAGTGCTCCAAGGGTGAAGAACGTGGTTTTAGATAATCTTTTCCCATGTGTTTACAATGACTGCTTGCTAGGAAGATGCACGGGAATTGTAATTTAACACCAAAAAGACAAAGACAAAAACAAAAACCACATATTCCAAAATTACCTTCGAATCAAATAAAAACATTTTCTACATACTTACTCAGAAAAGTGGACTCTTTGTACTTGTGGTTCCATGGTGCAGCGGTTAGCACGTCTGCTTTACACGCAGAAGGTCCTGGGTTCAATCCCCAGTGGAACCAATGCTAGGTAGGTTTTCTCCCCTTCCCCTCCCAAAGGCAAGAGAAGGGGTATTTTGCTATCCACTGCCACACACTCTGGCTCACATCGAGTGTCTGCTTATCGCTAAAAATGCTGCTGTTATTTCTGCTTCTCCGGACTCCGTGAAAATTACAGAAAAATAGGTTTTAGGTGAGCCTGAGCTGGAGACACCGCTGAGAGGCCCATCCTCTCACTTCAAAAGTGCCAAGTCCACAGGAATTCCTAAAATTTGGGAACTGGGGGGAGGAGGGAGGACCCTCAGCGGAGAAATGTGTGGGTGGGACTGATCAGGGGCTGCAGACCAGCATGGCCTTCTAGAAGCTCCAACTCCAGCCCCCACCTATCAGGGAGGAGACTTCAGGGTTATTCTCCTAAAATCAGGAGACAGGTCTCTGGCCTTGAGAGCATGGTAGTATTTGTTGCCCTTGATGGTTGCGGTTCCTCAGTAAAAGCAAGAGAAACCTATGAAAACCGTACACAGTGCGTCCTCCCCAACCTCATTTCTATTCACAACAAACTCAGAAAGAACCAACAAGAGTCAGCATTTCTCTCTGCTCTCATCAACGTCGCTTGCGCTTGTTCCACCCAAGGGACAGTGCCTTTCCAGTCCTGTCCATAGGCGTTTCTGTTCCTGGGCCTCACACTTCAAGACTAAGAAGTCCGGTTGTGCAGGAAGCTCCCAGACCAATCAATATTCAGGCACTCATGGAAAGGTCCAATTTAGTTTCATAACCACCCTCGCTCAGTTTACAGCAGCCACCCAGAGCTGCACAGTGTCAGGAGCTGGTTCCTCCGAGTCCAGACAGACAGGTACCCATCCTCACACATGCAAAATGGAGTAGAAATAGCACACAGAACAGGGGCTATCGAGGCAGATGTGGTACAATGAAGGACATGATACAGTGAAGAGGACTAGGAAGCAGTCTTAAAACTGAGCGGCTGGAGGAATGTCCTCCAAGACATTTCAGCTCAAAACCTCCTCAGTCTCCTCCATGTGAGTTTTAGAATTTACATCAGGTAGACAGGTGGGGAAGGATGAGGCTAATTTAGCCCTAAGGGAAGGCTTTGAGAAATCGAAGATGTCATCATGCTGAAACTTTTAATAAGCTGCTCACAATATGAGAAAGGAGACAGAAGACAGTAGTGTTTGAGCTCCCACAATCCACAAGTCCAGGGCAGGTGTGTCATTTGTGCATCTGAGTGTGGCGCTGTGGAGAAGTAGGCCCGTGGAAACTCCTCTGGGGACTTCCTTGTCTCCAGCCACCTCCCCTTCTCAGGTCAACTCTCCTCCACACCCACCTTGCCTGGTCCACGAGCCCCTTTGTAACTACTGTGCAAACAGTAGAGGTTAGAGACAGGAGCTGTTCCTCTGAGCCATGATTCCCCCCAAGGGTTCCTCCAATTTCTCTGCAGATTATCAGTCTACAGTTTCTGAGCACTTGCCTGGCCACAATACTTGGAAGTGCCTGACTCATGGTCAGTTCATGGTCAGTTGGCTGGGAAAGGTGGCACAGGAAACCTGGACCTGCACTTGAAGTCATTTTCTCATGTTCAAAATGAAGTTTTCTACTTTTGTTTTTATTACCTCAAATTCTTCTTCAGGACTCCTAGGCAATGCCAAATGGACCTGAGCAGAGTTACAAAGAGGAGCATTGAAGAGAAAGAGAAAAACAAACACACCACGAGCACTTTGTCTTTGGCAGGCTTAAGGGGGTGGTAAGGCAGCACGACTAGATGTGCCTTTGTCTCTCTTGCTTCTGAGTAGATTGCAAATCCCTTCAACCTCGCAGGGGTTTTGCAGTCTGCACTGCAGTTGAAAAAGGTGGGAAGGTGCACGCACAACTTCAAGCTCCTGCCTTCAACTCAGCTTCCAACCAAGGTTGCCATGGCCCCAACACAGTACTAACCACCACAGTATCAGTGTGCGGCCGGGTCTACCTACCTCGGTCCTCTCTCTACTCACTTCCCAGTTTAGCTCCACTTACTCTCAACCAAAATAGCCCCACTGTGCTCTGTAGCTCAATCCCTGTTGTCTTCAGCGCGCATCCTCACCTGACAGCACAGGTCTACCGGTCTCCTCCACACCGCCTGCCATGGAGGCTGTTCTCCAGCATGCATTCCCCTTTGCAACCTGAGCTGTTGTGAGGTCAGGAAAGCAACACACGTACTCCAAAGGAATAGGACCACGAATTTACCAACATGGGTGTGTAACTTCTGATGTGCTAAACCAATAAACCAAAACCTAATTCTCTTTGGAATTAAATACTAAGTAAAGTGGAAGTGACTGCTAAGAGAATACGGCAAGTTGTGTGTACCAGCTCCCTATGACAGTGTGAGTGGCTCTGAAAAGAGCCTTTGTTTCCCAGAGTTCTTAACCTGGTTCCTCCTTACTTGGTCTTGTGGTGGCTCTCGGTCTTCTTGGGCAGCAGCACGGCCTGGATGTTGGGCAGCACGCCGCCCTGCGCGATGGTCACCTTGCCCAGCAGCTTGTTGAGCTCCTCGTCGTTGCGGATGGCCAGCTGCAGGTGGCGCGGGATGATGCGCGTCTTCTTGTTGTCGCGCGCCGCGTTGCCCGCCAGCTCCAGGATCTCGGCCGTCAGGTACTCCAGCACGGCCGCCAGGTACACGGGCGCGCCGGCGCCGACCCGCTCGGCGTAGTTGCCCTTGCGCAGCAGGCGGTGCACGCGGCCCACGGGGAACTGGAGTCCGGCCCGGGAGGAGCGCGTCTTGGCCTTGGCGCGCGCCTTGCCGCCCTGCTTCCCGCGTCCAGACATTCTCACCTGGGGACTATCTTCACTGTCAAGTATAAAAGTAAAACTACAGGGACTGCATATTTTATAAAGGAACTTGGGAGCGAAAATGCAGGTGTGTTATTGGTCAAGTTTTCAGCTTCATCCTGACCAGTGAAAACATACACTTGGGATTCTTGCGTTCTGATTGGACCAAAGGAAATTTTTAAGTTCAGATTAGCCACCAATCAGAGAAAGTACTTTATCACCTTATTTGCATGTCAAGTTGTATATATGGAGGACGGGCACGTCATACTCCACTATCACTTTGCTGTTTTCTACCGTGTGTCTTGGGTTTTCTCCACCATGCCTGAGCCAGCCAAGTCCGCGCCCGCCCCGAAGAAGGGCTCCAAGAAGGCCGTGACCAAGGCGCAGAAGAAGGACGGCAAGAAGCGCAAGCGCAGCCGCAAGGAGAGCTACTCGGTGTACGTGTACAAGGTGCTCAAGCAGGTACATCCGGACACGGGCATCTCCTCCAAAGCCATGGGCATCATGAACTCCTTCGTGAACGACATCTTCGAGCGCATCGCGGGCGAGGCGTCGCGCCTGGCGCACTACAACAAGCGCTCGACCATCACGTCTCGGGAGATCCAGACGGCCGTGCGCCTGCTGCTGCCCGGGGAGCTGGCCAAGCATGCCGTGTCCGAGGGCACCAAGGCCGTCACCAAGTACACCAGCGCCAAGTAAGTGCCTTTTGTTAGGCACTTTTTAACCCAAAGGCTCTTTTCAGAGCCACTCAGTTGTTAATATTAGAGCTGTAGGTACGTACTTAAAATCGGGGGAAAAGTGGAAGTCAGTCAAGTGCGTAAGTGCTCCACAAGTAGGGACATAGGAATACTTTAATTTAGATAAAGGTTTTTAAGGGAAGTGGTGGTACATGCTCAGGAGTACGTATCTGAAATTGCAAAAAGTGTGAACTGCTAGCACCAGAGTCAGGACACTTGTGAACTCCAGGTCACAGAAACAGGCAGCTGATGCTGTTGAGAAGAGGCACGAAGGTGTAACCATACTTGAGTGTTGATTGACATTAAAGTATTTAGTATAGTACCTAAAGCCAAAAAAAAAAAAACTTATGGTCAAGACTTCACGTCTCAATATGTTAGTGCAGTTGGTCACCAATGTAAAGAAAGGGAGCTACTTTAAAACGGTGCTGCCATGTCGGAGGAACTTCCTTGCACGTCTTATACCTGAAACCTTGGAGAGTTAAAACGGGAAAGTACTTGGACTGGGCCTAGTGCAACATTGTGCCAAAGAACACCACAAGACAAATCAACACCATTCGTTTGTTCAGACCTCTCACCCTGACATACCTTTAAAGCAGCTGTCCGGAACCTTTTTGGCACCGACGACTGGTTTCAGGAAGAAAATTTCCCAGAACGGGAGGGGGATGGTGGAGCTCAGGCGGTCATGTGAGCAATGGGGAGCGAGATGAAGCTTCTGTCGCTCACCTGCATCTGTGCGGCCCGGTACCGGTCCCTGGCTGGAAGGCGGGGGACCCCTAATTTAAAGGACCAATGAGACCTTTGTGAGGGGCAGGACAGTCTAGACCCCAGGCCTCTGACACGTGGGTTAGTCAGGCTCCAGGCAGTTCCAACCCAGAGCCAGAAACAGGGACAGGGACAGGCGAAGGTCACAAAGGGCCCATCCTCACCGCCAACAATCCTGGACCGGGTCACTGAATATTGTCCCCGCCCACATTTCCAGCACAGGAGTTAACCTAGTAAAATGCACTAAAGAATTAACATGGGTAATTAGTATTGGCAAGCATTGTTTGCCCGGGATCACACTTCAGTTTTTTCGATGAAAACTTGGCCTGAAATGGGCCTTTGGTTTTCTGTAAAAACAAGTTTCTAGGTTCAATTCTGACTTCACAAAAACATTTTATAACCATATTGTGTTGTTTAAATGGTCAATAATAAAAAGCTAAATAAAAGCTTGATTCAAGGTAGGCAGACTTAAGAGGAAGAAACTGGGGAGGAGGGGTCGGAGAGCCGGTGACCAGGGCAGGGAGCTCCCTTTCACGGCCTCGGGGCTCAAAGGAGTTAGAACACCGACCCCTTCGTCTAGTCGACGGTGACCGTCACTTACAACAAACTGGGGGCCTCGGGCGTAGGGAGGGGCTGGCCTGAGGCTGGAAAACAGCAACTCCCTTAGTTACATGTAAACCCAAAACCGGTTTAGGGGGCAGTGAGGAAAAATTTCCCTTTGGTAATCCTGAGCAAACACTTACCGAACTGAAGCCCAGCGGTTTGTTCTACGTCGTGTTGTAACAGGCTGGGTCTCTAGGAGGCCGGGAAACAACTGCAGTCTAAGGATCTGTTCAGTAACTTACTGAGACCCGCCCCCCCGCAAGTAGCAAAACTTAAGGGTTCGTTGCCGTTCCCGAGACTCTGGGCAAACGCAACCGGTGGCTCCTTACAACCCCGTTTGCCCCACCTCTGGAAGTTTACTTTGTCACCCCAGCCTCCTTATCCCGCGTTATCCCGCAAACCAAGAAAGCAGCGCAAAGCTCTTCCCGAGGAGTGGGCGGCCCTGAAAAGGACCTTTGGTGGAAGCGAGATTATGCTGATAAAATGTGACTTAACCGCCGAAGCCGTAGAGGGTGCGGCCCTGGCGCTTGAGCGCGTAGACCACGTCCATGGCCGTGACCGTCTTGCGCTTGGCGTGCTCCGTGTAGGTGACGGCGTCCCGGATCACGTTCTCCAGGAAGACCTTGAGCACCCCGCGGGTCTCCTCGTAGATGAGGCCGGAGATGCGCTTGACGCCGCCGCGGCGGGCCAGGCGCCGGATGGCGGGCTTGGTGATGCCCTGGATGTTGTCGCGCAGCACCTTGCGGTGGCGCTTGGCGCCGCCTTTGCCGAGCCCCTTCCCGCCTTTGCCGCGGCCAGACATCCTGAAAGAGCCAAGAACTACTAATGCCCCAAGAGCGTCAGCAACTCCTTCTTATAGGGAACCCTGGCGGACCAGAGTGAAAACCTAAAGAGCTGTGGCAGGAAGTTGTTCTTGGTGGCAGGAAGGGGCCTAAAAGCAGAAAACTTACTACAGTAGGGTCCTTTCTTTTCTGTTCTTTCTTTTCAATAATTTTGAATCCTCAACATGCTACCTGTTTTTCTCCCTCTTATTTAGTGTGCTTTGTGCTTCATTCAAATTAAACAACGAAACCTTAACATTGTACAGGATACACAAAAACAGTGAAGGAAATACTGTGTTTTTATCTCTGCATATATACATGTAATTTCTTTATACAAAGTTTGCATGGAGCCACAACTTTGGAACTTTTCTCTCCTTAATATATAGGAGAGATATACTCCATATAATGACTGCACAGAGATTGACCAAGACGGAATAATAAAGCAGAAAATATTAAGATCTTCTAGATATATTATTAAATTCTGTTCCACCAAAGGTACCAATTTTTATTTTCCACAGCAGCTCCTAGTGTGTCTTACTAATAATGAGTAGACCCACTTCAAAACTAATTCCAACAATCCAGATACAGAGAATTAATTTAAAAAAAAAACACATCAATCTGGTTAATCAGTACATCAAATATTTCCCTACTGATTTGAGGAACTTAGTTTATCATACTGAATATTTCACACAATTAATTCTTGAGTTTTATTGTTATGTCTATTGCTGAAGTATTATAATTATTTCTAATGTGGAAAAATATTTTGGTATTTGACAGTGAATTCCCACCTCAGGGAATTCCAAATATTTCCAAATATTTTTTCCAAATATTCCTATTATCACTAGTCTTTTTTAAAAAATTAAAAATAATTGTATGCACTTACAACAAATAAATTCTCTTAGTAAATTTATCGGTTGGTTTGGGTAAATTTATCTTTGCAATACTGTGTCCTGGTAACTTGAAAAGGAATACTACCAATCCATGAATATCTCAGTAGACTATTTTCCAGATAATATATTTGAAAAATTAAAAAAACCTGCAACAAGAGCAATTAATTTTTTACTAGGGAATATATAGAAAATTCAAATGAGAAAAAAAAGCATACCTTTTTTACTATGTTTCTTCAACTTCAATTAGCTGGAATACATTTCCAGACCCTTCTCTACCTTAAAAATCAGTAAATTTCCCACCATGCAGTAGCCTCCTTGCCTGTATGAAACTAGTAGTAAGATTAGTAATGGATGGATAAGTTTGTAAGATTCTCTAGTTTCTGAAATTAATAGCCAAATAATTTATTCTTCTATAAACATTATTTTATAAAAATATGGTGCTATGCAGGCTGTTTTCTAATATACTAAAAATTAATATATCAAGATAAACAGTTACAATCAAAGTATTTTTCTTGTATCTTTACATTACTTCTTGGTTTAAAGGGAGCAGAATACACCACCCCTAATTACACCTCTTTGGTGTAAGGATCACTTTGAGCTAATTATGAGAAGCAACGAACAAGAAAAAGTCTTTGAAAAATGTGGAAGTTCCTTTTTTGTCAAGGACATTTAGGCTTATAATGGAAATCTCCCTCCCTGTACCAGCAAGAGCATGCCAACTCTGAATCTCAAGGCTCACCAATGGAAAAGGCGTCTACTTAATCCGTACGACAAAACCTACCTTCTCCTAGGTAGCCTCTCCTAACTGCCCTGCCTCTGCCCACCCCACCCTGTCTTTTATCTTTAACTGGAAATGGCAAATAAGGTAGAAATGGTTTGGGTCACGTTGGGGAGTTAAGTCTTTGTTCCTGAGTATCTGTGACATATATATTGGTATACAAGTTGATAAAATTCTGGTTTTCTCTTGTTACTTCGTCTTTATCACTGACTCTCAGCCAAAAACTCAGAATGGCACAGGGAAAACGATTTGCTCCTCTTTTACACTGCACACATCAAATGTTGCAGTAAACTTTATTAGTTACAATTGCAAAATACATCCTATACCTGCTCATTGTGTACTGCCACCAATGAAATCAAGCCACGTTTATCTCTCAAAGATCACTAGAATGTGTAATTTATATCCCTCTACAGTTTGTATTCACCACAGAGGCGGTTGCCTTAGTGAATTTTCAAAGAAACCTAAGTCAGGTTATGCCATTTCTCTCTTCAGAACTCAGAATGGACATCTAGAACTATCTGGAAAACTCAGCATGACATATACAACCTTACAGGATCCTAAAGTTCCTCCTTATCTGACTCCTTATCTGTCTCTGAACTCCCTTCCCACCCCTGCATTCTGAGCCCGGGGGGACTGCTAGACATTCCACATACATGACGGTCTTGGGGGTTTGATTATCTTCTTTGCTTAGAGCATCACCCAAAAGAGCAAATTAATTTACTACCTGGTTTTATTCAAATCTTTGCTCAAATACAATCTAGTCAAAATGTTTCCAGAGTCCTGGTAATGGTTTGAAGAGTGCCCGCTCACTCCCCACTCCTGTCTACCTGGATCCTCACATGCAACCTTATTTAGAAATGGGGTCTTTGCAGGTGTAACTATTAAGGATCTCGAGAGGAAGACATCTTGGATTTAGAACGGGCCTTGAATCTGAAGACAGCTGTCATCCTGTAAGAAGAGGAGAGGACAGGCTCACAGGCAAGGAGCTGTGACGGAGGTGGAGGTTGCAGGTGTGCTGCAGAGGCCAAGGAACGCTGAGACTTCAGGCAACCACCGCGGCTGTGAGTCACCTCCCCTCTTCTCCCTTAGAGGATCTAGAACAGGGTGTCTAACTCGCGGCCCAGGCTGCATGTGGACCAGGGTGACTATGAAGGTGGCCCAACACAAAATCATAAATTTACTTTAAGCCTTTTTTTCCTCATCAGTTTTTGTTAGTGTTTGCGTATTTAATGTGTAACCCAAGATAACTCTTCTTCTTCCAGTGCGGCCCAGAGACACCAAAAGGTTGGACACGCCAGCCATAGAATGAATGAGTCCCAGGAGCATGGTGATTTCGGACTTCTGGGCTCCAGAACTGCGAGGGGCAAGGGTTTCTGTTGTTTAGTACTGTCAGTTTGCAGTAAATTGTTGCTGGGAGCTCCAGTAAATTACATTAACGGTGACACAAAAGAAAACACTCCCAGCTCCCTGCTCTCCTAGCCCCTGGACCTGATTTAGTTTTCCTCAGAGTACTCATCACAACCTAAAACTTATTTTAAAAAAATTGAGGGGCCATTTCAGTGTCTGTCATTGTTATATATTGTCACCAGCACTTTTTACTGTAAGACTTTATATTAGGATGAGAAGCAAAGATTTAATAAATCTATACAAGATGATTATAAATACCTCATTTCTTCATACAACTTTTTCAATGTTTTGCTTTCAACGAGATGTGTTTCACCAATGCCTCATCTATCATTTTCTCACCCAATTAAAACAAATGTTAAAATGTACCAGGGAATAGTTGAGCACTTCACTTTTAATCCTGAGGTATTTTACCCCGAGGGTCTGAGGTATCACATTACTCACTTGACACACAGTAAGTGTCCGTTTTACTGTGATGATGACACGTATTCAACTTTCTAATGTATAGTTAGTGTCTCCTTTCAAGGATGTTTATGTACTGACATGACAACTGTACTAGAAGTCCCTTTTAAGTAGTGGTTACAACACGAAACAGGCAAGCCCTTTTAGTGGAAATGTGGGTGGCTCTGAAAAGAGCCTTTGGTTGAAGTTGAAAAAGATCCGAATCTTGCAGTTCACTTGCCCTTGGCCTTGTGGTGGCTCTCGGTCTTCTTGGGCAGCAGCACGGCCTGGATGTTGGGCAGCACGCCGCCCTGCGCGATGGTCACCTTGCCCAGCAGCTTGTTGAGCTCCTCGTCGTTGCGGATGGCCAGCTGCAGGTGGCGCGGGATGATGCGCGTCTTCTTGTTGTCGCGCGCCGCGTTGCCCGCCAGCTCCAGGATCTCGGCAGTCAGGTACTCCAGCACGGCCGCCAGGTACACGGGCGCGCCGGCGCCGACCCGCTCGGCGTAGTTGCCCTTGCGCAGCAGGCGGTGCACGCGGCCCACGGGGAACTGCAGCCCGGCCCGCGACGAGCGCGTCTTGGCCTTGGCGCGCGCCTTGCCGCCCTGCTTCCCGCGCCCAGACATATCGGGAAGAAAATCGCCTTCTGACTAGAGTGAACTAACAGAACCAGAGATGCCCTATTTATAGTCGTCCCAGGGCTCGAAAGTGAATCTCTGTCATTGGCGAAAAGTTACAACCTTTTCACTTAAACCAATAGGTCCTCGTCCTGAAATACGCGTATCTTGACTGGACAATATCCACGTGACGTTTCTGGAGCTACCGCCAGTCAGACGCGACTTTGCTCACGGCTTCCTGAAGAGGCTGGGCACCGAGAGGACACTCACGGCCTTACGCTTGTCCTTCACCTTCTTTGGCGGTTCTCGCGACCATGCCCGAGCCGGCCAAGTCCGCGCCCGCCCCGAAGAAGGGCTCCAAGAAGGCCGTGGCCAAGGCGCAGAAGAAGGACGGCAAGAAGCGCAAGCGCAGCCGCAAGGAGAGCTACTCGGTGTACGTGTACAAGGTGCTCAAGCAGGTGCACCCGGACACCGGCATCTCGTCCAAGGCCATGGGCATCATGAACTCCTTCGTGAACGACATCTTCGAGCGCATCGCGGGCGAGGCGTCGCGCCTGGCGCACTACAACAAGCGCTCGACCATCACGTCGCGGGAGATCCAGACGGCCGTGCGCCTGCTGCTGCCCGGGGAGCTGGCCAAGCATGCCGTGTCCGAGGGCACCAAGGCCGTCACCAAGTACACCAGCTCCAAGTAGTGCCTCCTGCGGGCACCTCTTAATCCAAAGGCTCTTTTCAGAGCCACCTATGTTCTCAGAGAGAGCTGCTGCTGAGCTGGCCTCTGATGCTGCGCCTCGGCAGTCGTTTAGTGTGCGAAGTCGGGCAACAATCCTTCGAGAAGAGGCTCGGTGAAGGTAAGCTCGAAATCAACCAACCACAGAGCAGTTGCAAGGTCCTTTCAAATGTCTAGACCTCCTTTGTGTAAAAACTCCTTTAGCTTTCCATTACCATTTGGGAAGTTACATTTAAATGGGGCTCTGCCAGCCTTTCTCAAGGTTAAGGAAAGAACGGAAAATGTTCAACTCTAAGCAAACTCAACTACGCCCGGGTCACCTAACGGGGATAGGGTTGGACCCAGCCGGGGCCGAGGTGCGCGGTCAGTTTGAATTCTCCCGGGCAGGCGCGCGCGCCTGCGCTCTGCGCCCACAGGGGCCCCGCCCTCCGGAAAGCCCCAACCGGGGGTGCTGGAGGGACCCGCTCGCTGCTTGATAAGCACGGTCTGGGAGTCGATCCTGCTTGTCATTTCCTTTTCTTAATGTTGTGTCGCATTCGGCAGTAGTTTTATTTCCTCTTGAATTTTTTTGTTGGAGAAGTTACTGAAGGATATAATTGCCAGACAGAAATACCAGTTAATTAGGGATACTGCTTTCCCTTTGCCATATTTTCGTATGTTGAACATTGCAGGACAAAACACGAATACTTAGGGACCAATGAGGGCAGAAAAGCTTGAGAGCATTTATCCCAGAGTCCTCTGGAGTAAAAATCCATTTTCTATTTTAAAGTTCCTTTGGTTAGGGAAGGGTACTGAAGGACCAGAAGAATATATTTATGTTATCAAAAGCAACATTTGAAATGAAAAGCTAGAAAATAAATGGCAGATTTAGCTAGTCAAAGGATATGATTTTAACTTCTAAGGAAAAACCGCGGGCAAAAAGAGGTTCTACAGAAATTTACCTTACTGGGTGATCTGAACATAATTTCCTAATTGGTCACATTATGTTGGGTAGTCAGGCCCCAGGCCTGTAATCCTTTAGTAAACTAATTTTTGCCTTAATCCTTGTCCACTGTTTCTATGCATATAGGTTAACACACCTTTGATATGTCTCTTTTCAGGCTCCTCCTAAGGTAACCACCCTCAAGAGAACAAATAATCTCTCTTAAAAAGTGTATTTTACTGCTTATGCCGTTACAGTTGTCCTGACATCCCTTGTCCCCCTCCACCCAGCACCCCCCACTCCCTCAGGCAATCCCCCCACTAGTGTTCAAATCATCTTAACTAGCCTATAATCCAGTTCCTGCCTTGCTTTCTCCCACCCTCGAGTAATCTCATGTCGCCACCTTAATTTAAAATGAGTAAAAAGAAACTGCGAAAATATATTTAAGACATAGGAACTAAGGTAGATCTAATGGAATCCTAATTCAGACAACATTATTGTAAATATCTGAGGCGTTTGAGAATTTTTTTAAAGGACTACATATTGCATGATGTTACAAATCATTTTTAAATTTTCTAAGGTGTGAAAAACTTGTATTTTGTTTAGGTCTGTATGTTAGGACATTAGTAAAAGTAGCCGTGGTTGAAATAACATGTTTGTGATTTTTTTACACTCCCCCGCCCCGTCCTGCCCACAGTAGGCAGGGTAGTGAAACACTAAGTGAAATGGTGGTGGTTGTTGACTCTTGGTGCTGGGCACTCGGAGATAGGTTATTCTGTGTGCGTAATCTCTGCCCCCGAAAAATAGTTTTATGAAAAGGTCGGCCCAATTAACTAATGTATTTTCTCTTTTGTTTAACAAAGGGTGATACTGAGAAGAATCAAGTGTTGGCAGAAATTCCGAGACTAAACTACGCGAGTGAGAGAGGCCATCTGCACCAGGAGAAAATCCCAGCCGCAGACCCCTCCCTCCTCGCCAGGAGGAGAAACGCTATCGCCATCTGGTGGCCCTTTGTGGGAATACAGCCAAACTTTGGCTTTGTGTTAGGGTTTCTGCTAGGCAGTCTATTGGTAGGGTTTAATAATCGCACGTATGAAGAATACAATAAACCATCTTGTTCTCAACAGTTCTCAACCGCACAATTTCGCCAACGACCACAAGTAAACACGTTCATTAGTTTTCTGTGCATCCCTCTCGAATTTTTTTTATTCCTTTTTTTGTTTTGTCCCCTCTGGCTTCATATGAACACAAATACACACGTGGGTCCCCATTACCTCTCTTAACTCACAGCCAATGGCCACGTGTTCCTCTCACAGTTCTGTCTCGCGCTTTTCTCATTAGCTCGGAACATTTTCCTATTAGTGAGGAGAGTGGCTGAGAGTTCTTGGCAGGCGCACCCGAGCTAGTGATCCCGGGTGGGTAACCTGCTCCTACTGGGGACCCCACAATGGCTGCACCTCCCCTGAAAGGTGGTGCTCATCTGTGAGAGGAAGGGCCTACTTGGGGCTCTTTGAGGAGACCCCGGGGGCTGAACCGGTCTGGACAGCTGTGGGGAGGCCGAATTCCTGTCCCCTTCCTGGAATGGGCACGCGATGCTGGGTGAGGTGGGGCATCCGGGTCCTAACCGCAGGCACTGCCCTTGGCAGTGAGGTTTTCTCTGGTTGCCGTCTTATAACGAAGTTGTCCTCCCATTCCCTGTCCCTTTTCTTCACAGTATGTATCCAGAACTGACATGCTCTATATTTTACTGGGTCACTTGCTTATCTTAACTGTACTCCCCCTCCCCAGTCGAATGAGTCCACTGACACCTGGACTTTTCTCCTCCTTTCTTTCATCTTCTATTCCTCCTCCTCCTTTTCTTCAAAAAATATCTCTGAATAAATAAGTGAAGTAATATTCCTTGGCTCCACTATTGCCAAGAGGGAGGCTTCCAAACAATTTTACTTACTTCCTTCGGTGGATGATCCCAAAGATCAAAGACAAATCGCCATCCATTCCCACCACTGAGAGCTCCGTCTGGTTGAACTCCCAGTTTTCTCTCCCCAACAAAAACCTTTAGTGTTGTTCAAACTCAGATTTCTTTTTTTCCCAATGTTTTTCATTAATGAGTATGGGCACACACATTTTTTTTAATATATACCAAATAAGGCCATTGAAATACTGTGCCACTAGAAGAGACTTTTCTGCCTTTTGTAAGTCTTGAACTCAGGACCCTTCCATTAGGGAAGACATGGCCACCTAGTGGGCTCTGGGGGTGGCGGCTGACAGGACGCTACAAATCCCCACCCCCTACTGTGCTGCTTTCTGGATTTCCATTCCTCCCACGAGGGAAAAATGCTCCTAAGCACTTCTCTCCATAAGAGCGGACACAGCTCCCTTTCTATCCCCATGCTTAGAACGGCCAAGGCGCGGGAGTGGTATGTGGGTGCTTGCTGTGCAGGAGGACCTTTTGGTCTCCTGCGTGGGTACAATTGAGTTCACCTTTGGCTAGTCTTGTTTTTCTTTTATTCCAATAATCGGAAACTCCCTTCCAAAATTCCAATTTCTCTTTTACTATTCACGGTCTTGTTGATGCAAGAATGTCCAAACCTGTAGAAAACTTTGTAAGAGTTTATTTCAGCTAAACAGAAGACATGTCTGGAAGCAAGGTTCCAGCAGACCGAGAAAATACTTCAGGGAATGACAGTTTTCCAGGTTCTTTTGTGCACTCAGAATAAAGGAGGAAAGGAAGATGACAAAACAGTGAGAGCAAACAAGGTGCAAGACTGCTACCACACACCTGTGCTTCCTGGAGAGTGCTTTTCCCTTTAAAAGAGGGGGAAAGTGGGTTACTTCTGGTCTTTCAGAGATGTATTATTATCCTTTGTACAAGGACAGTGGGCCTGGGGGTGTAGGGCCAAGGAGATGCGGGAATCATCACAGAGGTAGGAAGCAGGAAAATGCACACATCGTAGTGACCCGGGAAGGGTCAGCCTTCTCCAGGGCAAACACTCGGAAGGGACACTGGAGGTTGACACACCAAAAGCCCACGCCCTCGACGAGGGTGGGATTCGAACCCACGCGTGCAGAGCACAATGGATTAGCAGTCCATCGCCTTAACCACTCGGCCACCTCGTCCCCGTGGCCCTGAGCCTTCGAGCATGCTATTCTTGAATTCATTCCTGGGAACCCACAGGATGCTCGGAGGGAGATGTTGGGACCTGTCCCGGGACATAGGTGTGTGGGGACTACATCTTTTCCCCCACATAATGGACAGAAACCAGAAGGGAAGCGGCCGGGACGCAATGGAATCACCTGTGCCTGGCCTTCGCTCTTTCCCGGCGTTCTGGTTCCCCCTGGCGGGCAACGGAGGTTCAGACTCCCCTCCGCGGCCTCGGGCACCCGGAGCATCCCGACTCCTGACGCACGGTGAGTAAACCCGTTTGGAAACCTGGCGCCAGGGTCCGCGGGGCAAAGCCTCTCGATGCTCCAGGGGGCGCACGGAGGGATCCTTCCCTGGTGGGCTTGCGTCCCGGGTCGCCTGCGTCCGAGGGCCCGTGAGTTCTGAATACTTGGGCGCTTCTTGGGTGGTACCCAGGGGAAGGGTTGCCCAGCTTCCCTTCCATTTTCCCACGGAAGAGGAGTCGGGATTAACTCTGATTAATCAGGCTGAGTCATAAATGCCTGGAACAAGAAGGTAACCTTTAAGGTGAATCTTGAAGAGTGTGTTTTCTGGAGGCAACAGGGAGGGCGGAGCCCCCAAAGATATATCTATAGCACCGCGTTAATTCTTGTGTATGGTGTGAGGGATGGATCTCATTTTATCTTTTTCAAAATAACTATGTAATTGATTCCAAAACCTTTGTTAAAGCCCTTTCTTCAATGATCGGAAATACTGCTTTTATCACATACTAGATGTCTACACGCAGTTGTATCTAGTCCTTCCTAGGACATCAAGTCCTCATTCAGGCCGGTCCACCTGCCCGAATCATCGTCTCCTCTCACCACAAACCTCAGCTGTCTGACTTGTCCTCCATCAGGTTCCAGGTGATGCCGCTCCTGGATGAGAGGCCCTAGTCGCTGTCCAGATACCTGCAAGCCTAGGGGTGAAGGTGTCAGGCCCTCCCCAGTGCAAAGCGGCAGCCACTTCCTGTGTGATGCGGCCTCTCGAGCCCTCATAGAGAACAGGAAGAGGGGCAGTCTCCTCCCCGCTCCGGAGAACTCTGAATGGTTACCTGCACTTAACCCAGCTGTAGGAAACCCTGTGAGAGCCACTGCCTATACCTGCAACCTGTCCCCGCTGTCCTAACGCCACCCCCTTTTCACAACTGCAACACTCAATCCTGGGAGAAAGACGTTGGATCTGCCCAACCCTAGCTCAAGCATCTCCCTCTTTGTGAAGCTGAGCAGAATGTGCTTTCCCTCCAGTCTTCTAATTGCCTCATGATAGTTAATCATTCCACTATAACAGTTAAGCATCCACTATAGGGTCAAATACCTTCTATATCTGGATTCTGGACACATTTAAATGGAGGAAGCAGTATCTTCTTTAAATGAGCCCTGACATAAAAGAAGACATAAAATCCATGACATAATCAAACAATTCCTCTAGTGGAGTCTCAGGGGAAGGCAGGTGCTCACTCCTGACATGAAGGCCTCCACGTGTTAGTTTTCCTCCCTCTTTTGGCTGAGAAATCCCTGAAATCTGTGACTACAACTCCCTTTGAAGTCTCCTCACATGAAAATAGACATTGCAATACTACAATTATGATTACATTTAATTATCATTAAGTGAGTTAATGCATGTAAATCCTTTAGAGCAAAGGCCAGACCTTTCAAGAGTTACCTAACAACTTTTGAGTGAGTAGTAGCTGCTGCTGTTATTTTTCTGAGGATGAGAGGATGTTGTTCCTCGCACAGAGCCAGTGCTCAGGAAGTTCTCGGTGAGTGGCTCTCCAGACAGGTGGAAGCACTCTTCTGGTCCTAGAATGCCAAGTACCTGGGTAAGAGTCATCCTGCTGCAGAAAGTGAGTGAGGAACTGGCCAGTGAGCGCCTTCCACTCACAACCTGCCATCCACCTCTCAAATATCCTGATTGTGTTTTTATTAAATAACCTAGTCAAGATTAGGCAGAGAGTTCACCGACCCAGATGAGACTCCATGATTTATGGATGGCATTTTTAAAAACTGCATGTTTGTTCAATCACCAAGAAAATGAATTTAAAAATGAGGAGGGGTTTTCTTTTAAAAAATTATTTTAAAATTATAGTTTATATTCAATATTATGTTGTATTAGTTTCAGGTGTACAGCATAGTGATTGCCCTGATATTTCAAGTGTCCACTGGGCACAATATATAGTTATTACAATATTATTGACTATATTCCCTATGTGTACTTTACATCCCTAAAGGGGATGTAATTTTGTGACTACCAATTTGTAGTTCTTAATCTCTTCACCTTTTCCCAACCTTCCTCCCCTCTTGACAATTATCCATTTGTTCTCTGTACTATGAGTCTGTTTCTATTTTGTTTTTCTCTTTAGATTCCACATATAAGAAAAATCAGATGGTATTTGTCTTTATCTGACTTATTTCACTTAGCATAATATCCGTCAGGTCCATCCATGGTGCCACAAATGGTAAGATTTCACTTTTTATGGCTGAGTAATATTCCCTTATTCACATATGTATCACATAGGTACTTTTTACCCACTCATCTATTGATAGGCACTTGGGTTGTTCTATAGCTTGGCTATTATAAATAACACTGCAATAAAAATAGGGGTGCATATATTCTTTTAAATTAGTGTTGGGAACTTCTCTGAATATATAGTCAGAAGTGGAATATCTGGGTCACAAGGCAGCTCCAGTTTTAATTTTTTGAGGAACCTCATATTCTTTTTCCACAGTGGCTGCACCAATTTACATTCCTACCAACAGTGCACAAGGGATTCCTTTTCTCCGCATCCTCAACACTTGTTTGTTGACTTATTGGTGATAGTAATTCTGACAAGTGTGAGGTGATATTTCATTGTGGTTTTATTTTGAATTTCTCTGTTGATTAGTAACCTTGAGCATCTTTTCACGCGTCTGCCAGAGATACACTGCACATTCCAAGGCACAAATACGGTAAGAATAAAATAATGGGAAATACACCTTTCAAGGCATAATAACCACTAGAAACATGGATGGCTATGAGTATCAGACAAAATAGATTATAAGACCCCCAAAAAACCAAACCCACAACTAAAGGTTTAGAAGGGCATTTTTATAAGAACAAAAAGTTCATTAGGAAAATCTAACGATTATAATATATGCAGCTAACCACAGAGCCCGAAAATACACAAAGCAAACATTTAGAGATTAAAAGAAGAAATAGGCAATTCAACAGTAATAAGTAGAGACTTCAGTACACCACTGTCAATAAATAATACAACAATGAGATAGAAAACCAGCAAATATAAAGAAGACTTGAACAACATCAACCAACTTGACCTGACATCTATAGAACATTCCACCCATTCCAGTGGAAAAGATGTAACAGCAGAATACAAATTCTTTTCAAGAATACATGTATTGTTCTCTAGGATAGACTACATATTATTTAAAAGTCTTGATAAAAATAAGGAGATTAAAATACAAAAATATGATCATAATCTGATCATAATAAAATCAAATTAGAAGTCAATAATGAAGGAAATGGAAAGAATTAGCAATACATGGGTACTCATATAAAAGAAATTTGAAGAAAAATTTAAATAAATATTTTGTTTTTTTCTTTTAAAGGTATTTTTAACTGAGTAAAAAAAACCCCATAATACATCAAAACTATGGCATTTCATTAAAGCAGTACTTACACGGAAACCTATATCTTTAAACACCTGTATTAGAGAAGAAAGACCTTAAACGAATAACCTAAACTTTTATCTTAAAAACTAGAAAAAGATAAGCGAACTAAACCGAAACCCAGTACAAGAAAGGAATAAAGATTAAAGTAGAATCAATGAAATGGAAAACAGAAAAACAATAAAGAAAGCCAATGAAATGAAGAGATAGGTCTTTTGAAAAGCCAGGAACATGAACAAAACTTTAGCTAGACTGAACAAGAAAAAAGAGAAGATGAAAAATCAGGAAGGAAACAGAAAATCATTACTGATCTTGCGGAAATTGAAAACATCATAGAGGAGTACTATGGACGTCATGCTAACAAATTAGACAACTTAGATGAAAAATTTCCCAGAAGATGTAAATTATGGAAATGAACACAAGAAAAAATACATACAATAAATTTTTTAAAGTCGGTAGTTAATTTTTCAAAAAGAAAAGCTCAGCCCAGGTAGTCCTACTAATGAAATACACATTTAAAGAGGAAGTAGAACAATTCTTCAGAAACTCTATGAGTACACAGGCAAGCACCGGGGGACGGATGCGCTCGCCGGTGGGAAAAAGATGCTGCAGGTGAGACTCGAACTCCTGATCTCGACATTATTTGCACACTTACTGCCGTATAAATACCGCGCGCAGACCGACTGCGCCACTGGAGCGCTCGCCCCCTCTTCCGGTCACTCGTTACTCGGGCCACGCAGGAAAGTCCGGCGTCGGCGCGGGTGGCATTGGTGCCAGTGTCCCGGCCATCCCGGAGCCCCGGGGCTGCGTCTCCCGCCTGAAGGCGGGCTGGGTCCAGCCGCGGACCCCACCGGCCACTCCTCCTGCATGTACAGTGGACGCTGTGCGCGCGGGAAAGGGTGGGCACTTCCAGGGCGACCGGAAGACCCCCTTGGGGCGGAGCGGCGGGGCCCCGGAACCCTGTCGTCACGGGCTCTAGCGCCGGGGGGATCGGAAGTGGGCGACTCACTCGCGCACCAGCCGGCTAGACTGCCGGCCGCCCCCCGCCCCCCGCCCCCCGCCCCCGGAAGTTGAAGTGTCTGCGCTGTCAGGGGCTCTGGTTGCGACGTGTGACCCTGGACCCGCGACGAAGTACTGCTGGAGACTGAGCGACAAAGGGGATAAAGGGTAGAATGGACGGGACCTCCCCAGTCCTTTCCCCAACGGCAGGAGGCGCCGAATTCCCCGAGGACCGGGAAGAGGGACAAGGTCGCGTGTCTGTTCTCGGGGCTCGGGCGAGGGGTCAGCCCCGCTCACCAACCTTGAGCCTTAAACATATTGCCTTGAAATTTCTACTCTTCCTAAGTCTCCTGGCTGGGTTTCCACGTGCACGCGATTGTAAAAAGTAATCTTTAGCCCTGACTGTTGTGGCTTAGTTGGTTGGGCATGGTACCACAAAGTGAAAGGTTGCTGGTTTGATTCCCCATCAGGGCACATGCCTGGGTTACGGGTTCAGTCCCTGGTTGAGGTGTGTGCAAGTGGCAACCGGTTGGCGTTTCTCTCATTCATCAGACATTTCTCTCCCTCTCTTTATCCCTTCCTTTCCTCTGTATCTAAAAATAAATAAAATCTTTTTTTAAAAGCAAGCTTTCCCTCATTGAGTTACCTCTGATTTCCTGCCATAAATATTTCTTCTCTCTCTGGCCAATGGCATTACCATGCTATCCGCTTTCAATAGCACAACCAATCAACACATAAACACGTAACGCTGGCAATGCATTACTGTTGCCCACTCCAACACCCCAGTCAATCCTGGAAATAGTATATACCCAACACAAATGGTCAGTTGAAGGAAAGTGTGAGATAGGCCAGCACTTTGTTCCAAGGATGAGCCTTTTGTTTCTGGATCATTCATTCCACAAATATTTATGTAACACCTGCATTATGTCAGACAATATTGTAGGTGGTCAGAATACATTAGTGAGTAGAATAGACAAAATTCAACATTCCCAGTTTACATTTAAGAAACTTCTAAACAGATTCTTAGCAACCTGCTGCTTTTTTGTCTCATTTTTAAAAAAGAATTTTTAAAAATCCATTTTTAGAGAGGAAGGGAAGGAGAATGAGAGGGAGAGAATTACTGATGTGTGAGACATACATCAATCGGTTGCCTTTCACAGGCCCTCTGCTGGGGATCTGGTCCACAACCCAGGCATGTGCCCTGACTGGGAATTGAAGTGTCAACCGTTAGGGTAGCAGGCCAGCACTCAGTCAGGGCTTTCTCATTATATTTATGCATTTATTCATTAATTCCTTCATCAACAAATATGCAGAGCATTCACCATTGGCCAACCAGTGTGCAAGATTGGGGTAAAAAGGCATTACATGACTTAACATCACTCTGGTCAAGGATGTGAAGGGTGTGGTATGCCCCACTGTACCCTTAACACAGAACTGGTCTTCCCAGTTCTGTGGTTATCCTGTGTTCTCTGTCAAGTGTCCTTCGGTCTCGTACAGGAGTACAGCACTTCTGCGTTTGGTGTTAGAAGTTAGAGCTAAGGACACAAGCCATAACTTTTGAAGCACACATGTGCCAGGGAAAACAAAGGCATTGCTGGGTGAAGGGGCTGGGACATGACACGTTTGTAAAAATGGGCAACAGGGTGGGACCTCACATTTTTGTTGGGAGGCAGAGTTCACATACTTATGATGTCACTAAATGTTCCTGCCAATGGAACAGGAAGGGACCGCAACATTCTACTGTTGAAGAGAAGGCCAGGATGGGCCTCCATGTAAGAAGGCACTACAGAAAACAGGGGATCAGAAGATGGACGCTGAAACAGATAGGATCAAAAAAGAAATAAGACACAAGGTTAGCTGGGATCAAGAACAGCAGGAGGAGGGGTTTGAGGGGAAGGATGAGGAGGAGGTGTGCGGAGGCTGCAAGCATGTCCAAAATCTTACTTCTCTTGTCTTCACCAAGGAATGTACTTGGAATGTGCTATGATTTTCCGCCTTTCTGTTAACAGGTATTCACTGAGCTCCTCCCACGTGTAAAGACTGTGCTAAATGCGGCAGGAGATGAAGGAGTCGGGGCTCTTGTCTCCTAGGGGCGTCTAATCTAGGTGGTGGGACAGGACAAGGGGGAAAGCGTAGGAACCATGTAGGCCGTGGATGATTGTGTGTGAGTATGTGAGTAGTGTTTCAGACAAGATGCAAAGACCAAAGGGAAAGGTCTCCATCCTGGGGGGTAAGGGGCCCAGGTCAGCCTGTGGACTGAAGGGTATTTGGTTAGGGGATGAGGAGGGAGAGCCTGCGAGCTGAGTATGAGAAAAGACAAGAGGATTGGGCTTATGTGGGTGGGTGTCTAGGAATGGGGAGAAGTCCCAAAGGAAGAGGGGGAAAGTAACACATTTACCATGTCCCCTTTTTTCTAGTCAGCACCCTTTTGTATGAAGTGTGGGATAACTAGACCATATCGCATTGTCATCCTCACCTGCGCCTTCACGGGTTCTGCCCTTTTGTGGTGGGCCTTCAGCCTGCCCACCTGGGTGAAGATAGAAATCCCGGGCCCTTCCCAAGCCCTCTTCAGTGCTCTCTTCGCAATCTGCAGTGGCGAGGTCACGTGTTGGGTTCCTCCATCCAAATCAAGTAAGTTCTGGCCTGGAAAGGGAGGGCCCTGCTCCAACCCGGCCCCTTCTGAGAATTGCTGGCCTCCTTTTCTGCCCCAGCTTGCATGGACCAAGCAGTTATACTCCCCTCAGTAACACTGGCTCATTTCAGGATGAGCCAGGGGATCAGGCTGCTCTAGGGTTACCAGTCCCACTAGAATCGCTGTCCTAGGCCTTTTGGTGCCCTACCGCTGGTTCCTTCCATGCAGCCTCCACACTGCTTCCTTAGTATTCTGTGGACTCAGACCCGGGAAGGAGGGGCCCTAGAGGGAGCTGCTGGCCTTTCTCCCCTCTCCCTCCCCAATTCAGACTGCTTCATATTTGGTCGAATTTTCATGATCAGCGCCCTTGTTCTCTCCTTCTTCCTGAACATCATACTCCTGGCCTTCCCTCATTCCCTTCCTGATACCTGGAAACAGTACTTTGTCTTCACGATCACCTTCTTCATCATAGGTAAGCAATGGGAGGAAGAGGTTTCCCTCCATTGTCCTGGTTCTGGGCTAGGGTGACATTCCATTGGACACAGTTTCTCCTTACAAACTGTTCAAGCACTGCTAAGGTGAACAATAAAGCAATGACAAGAGAAAGAAACAGAGTAGAAGAACTGAAATGACAACTTAAGTTCTTGGGAATTAGCCCAGAGGCTATACACTAAACTAACCAGACTGGTCTTTGCCCGCCTACTTTTTTCCCTGAGTGACAGGTGTCTGTGTGTTCCTTGCACTACTGCTGCACTCTCTGCATATTTTGAAAGTAACTGACGTATTCAAGGAAGCGACAATCACCTTTCTCTACCCGTCTTTCATCCTATCATTCAGCATCACACTGTTCTTCTTATCTGGTGAGTGTTCTGGGGGCTGGGTGAGTTCTTGGGGTAGGTCCTGAATCCAGAACAACCTCGCCCATGGGTTTCAACCATGTCCATGGAGCACTGTTCATTTCTGGGGATGGGTTTGGTACAAAGACACCTCATTGGCTTGTCACAGCTCCTCCTACTCTGTGTTAGAATTTTGCCTTCATAGGAAAGTAGAATGCATTTCTCCTGCACATTCGGTAAGAAGCACGTCTGAGAATTTGTAGAACAGGCTGTCGTAGGGAAAAGGGTGAGTGGGGCAGAGAAAAGGGGTGACTCCACACTCACGTGCTCAGCCTGTTTAGAAACCATGAATTTCTTACCAAACATCAAGCGTTGAGTCAGTTTCATCTTCAGCGTCATCGTTTTGTCCTCAGGAATCCTCTGCTTCTTCAGCTCCCACCACTGTTGGCTTCAGTGTGTGCTGCCGCAGCCAATCCAAGTGAAACCCGGCCAGACAGCCGGGGCCAGTGGGAGCCCAGTGACAGTCGCAGAGGGGAAGCCAGGGGGCGACAGCTAGCCGAACCTCAGCGGAGAGGAGGCTAACAGCAGGAACGCATGTCCAGCCTGTAACTCAAGACTTCACAGCTACACATGTTCTCCTGTTTACTTACCGTGTAAGACTGGGGAAGGGTTGGCCTGTCCCTCACCATTGTTCACATGAGGATTAGGGTTCCAGGAACTTGGGTTTTCACAAGAGACAGGAAGTAGTTGGGGGTGGGGAGCAATGAGTCTGTTTTGAGTCTTGGGAACTTGGAATGCAAATCTCCTCACCTTGAACATGATGACCAAGGCCCACCCCACCCTCTCACGTGTATCTTGTAACCTGGAAGTCATTTTCTAACAGTAACAAAGCTCTTTCTCTGTCTGTGGAGGCTGAGTTTTGATGCAAATTCTCTGCCCTCTGATAACTTTATGAGTGGAATCTTTTCCCTGTCATATCAGGTGCCAACCCCTCATCCCAACTACCTTAAACTATAACAAAGGGTGACCCTACTGGACAAGCACAGGCGTCGTCCGTGGACTCACAGGACATTTTGATAGACTGGGGGCTACACAAGATACTGGGCGGGGGGTGCTGACCCAGAGCTCCTTCCTCAGGGTACTGTTCCTTTACTGTTCAGTGAAGGCGAGTGGAATTTCCTGCTCCAGAAATGCACGCGCTATTCTAAATTCCTCTCCTCATCACTCTCAAGAGCCATCAAAGCCTGCCCCTTCCATGTCAGGCAGACCTCTGCTCCCCTGTCGGAGCCCTCCTCACACCCACGGGCCAGCCAGGCCCTTGTCACCGCTGCCAGACTAGGGGGCTTCTCAGTGCGGCTCCTCTCCACTGCAGCCTGCCTCTGCCATGATGCCGACCCCAACTGCTTGGGACGCAGA